CTTCTCTACTGATAAGAGCCTTTGTCTGAGCTTTCCTCTTAAAAGCGCCGATGTAAAGTTTCTGGCATAGCTGATATTCTTTTTCGTGTAGAAATTTGTCCATCTGAACAGGCCTGAAAATTACAATTTAGTTTTGTTATCTTAATTTACTTCATTGCAGTCACTGTATTTCTTTATTTTTTCAGTTGCTGCCAGGATCCAAATAACAAGCCAATCCCATTATTAATTTCTTTAACAGTGACACAGGTGTTCCTTCTCTTACATTAATGAGCCACCTTTTCTGAAATGGGCAGTTTATTACTGGCAGTAGGTGAAAAGTCAACGGCTTTCTAGGGGAAAAGGCCAAGCTGCATCTAAGTTCAACTGTATAATATGCTATAGCTGAGAAACAGGATTTAATTTCATTATTAAACCTGTACGTGCCTTTGGAAGCTGGACAATTTTAGCTGACTTTTCTTAGGTGGTTGGGTATCCAAACTTGTGAGAAATCGGATGTACAGTCCTATGGCACTGAAAATGGTTGATTTATTTTTCTAATACAAACTTTTCTTGGTAGCTTGAACTCAGCTGAAGATAATTTTGCCCCCCAGGAAAGGTCTTTGACTGTATTTTCCATCTGCACTGATGATGATGACATCTGCTAGATTTCCCCACAACCAAAATAACATAGCCTATCCCATATAACCTATGTGATGGAGCTTAATGCTTGTCCTGTGATAGCCTGCACGATCTCCTGCTGTCCAGCTTCTGAGCCAGGGCTGCCGTCAGGATTTCTCTCTGCAGGCCTGGCCCATCAATATGGGATAGAGGGGCTGTGTCACCTTCTGAATGCCAGCATGCCTCCTTCAGGGAGAAACCACAGGTGGCATCAGCTCCTCCGGACTGCGTGCTGGGGGGACAAGGATCACAACCGGCATCTTGTTCAACGGAGCTGAGAAGATGCAGTTATTCCTGCAGTGAGGCAGGTGACAATGAAAGTCATCATAAAAATGGAAGAAAGAGAAACATCTGTGGTGCTCTTTAAAAGAAGAGCATGCCGGTAGATGCAAAGGGGCATGTTCCTTGAGAAGAAACAAATCTGAGCAGTACAGTGTCTGGAAGGGGGCTGAACCACAAAGTAGAATCACAGAATCGTTAAGGTTGGAAAAGACCCTTAAGATCATCGAATCCAACCGTTAACCTAGCA